CCCCTGTGTGGTTCCTGTGTGGCCCCTGTGTGCTTCCTGTGTGGTTCCTGTGTACCCCCTGTGTGGTTCCTGTGTGGCCCCTGTGTAGTTTCAGTGTAACCTGTGTAGCTCCTGTGTAACTAGTCTTTCTTCTCTATGGCCCGTGTTTTCATGTGTCTCCCTGTAATTACTTTATTTGCCAGTTGCGTTTGTTCCACTGTTTCTGTTCATCATGTAGGTGTATATTTGTTATCACCACAAAGTAACTACCTGTGTTGCTTTTTTGTTCCTTTTTTGTGGTGAAACATACACAACACAAAATTTACCATTTTAACCTTTTTTTTATTTTGAGACGCAGTCTCACTCTGTCGCCCAGGCTGGAGTGCAGTGGCACGATCTCGGCTCACTGCAACCTCCACCTCCCAGGTTCAAGCAATTCTCCCACCTCAGCCTCCCAAGTAGCTGGGACCAGGCACGCGCCACCACACCTGGCTTATTTTTGTATCTTCAGCAGGCACAGGGTTTCACCATGTTGGCCAGGCTGGTCTCGATCTCCTGACCTCGTGATCCGGCTCCGTTGACCTCCCAAAGTGCTGGTATAACAGGTGTGAGCCACCATACCTGGCCTCATTTTGACCATGTTTAAGTGTACAATTCAGTGGCATTAGATACATTCACAATGTCATTTATCCATACCAGTACCTATTTCCAGAACTTTGTATCATCCCAAAGACTCTACCAATAGGTACCCCTCTCCCCCACCAGCCCTGGGGGCCGCTGTTCTACTTTCTGCCTCTGTGAATTTACCTGTCCTAGGTACCTGGGAGAAGTGGAGTCATGTAGCACTCATCGGTTTGTGCCTGACTTCTTCCACTCGGCGTGTCTTAAGGGTTTACCTCACCGCAGCCCGTGTTGGAGCGCCTTCCCCTCCGAGGCTGGGTGGCGTCCACTGCAGGGTGGACCACGCGGTGTTTTCTGCTCATCTGCAGTTGGGCACGCGGGCTGCTTCTCCCTTCTGGCCATTCTGAATGAGGCTGCTGTGAACACTGATGTATGAGTCTCTGTTTGAATTCCTGCTTTCAGCGCTTTTGCTTGCAGAGCGAAAAGTGAACTGCTGAATCATGTACTCATTCTGTGTTTCGCTTTTTGAGGGGCTACCAGAGTTTTCCGCAGCGGCCGCACCGTTTACATTCCCAGCAGCGATGCATGGGGGTCCCAGTTTCCCCACGTCCTCACCAGTGCTTACTTTCCTTTTTTTCCATTTTTATCAAAGCTATCCTGCCGGGCACAGGGGCTCACGCCTGGAATCCCAACACTTTGGAAGGCTGAGGCAGGCAGATCACCTGATGTCGGGAGTTTGAGACCAGCCTGGCCAACATGACGACGCCCCATCTCTACTAAAAATACAAAAATTAGCCAGGTGTGGTGGCAGGTGCCTGTAATCCCAGCTACTCAGGAGGCTGAGGCTGGAGAATCGCTTGAGCCGGGGAGTCAGAGGTTGCGGTGAGCCGAGATCATGCCACTGCACTCCAGCCTGGGTGACAGAGCGAGACTCTGTCTCAAAACAAAAAGATAAATGATATTAAGGAACTATTCTGAACGCATAGAAGGGCGTCCACATCCTCCTCCACCACCTCTGTTCCCCGACTTCCCTGGCTGGTCAGCATGTCGCCTCCCTGTGGCACGGGAGCCCCACTGGCTCCTGAGTCCTTGGATGTGACCCTTGGCTCTTGGATCACCGTGGCTTTCTGCAGGGTCTGGACACTCCAGCCTCACTGTCACCCTGGCTTTCTGTGGTCCAGCCTCATTGTCACTGTGGCTTTCTGCGGGGTCTGGACGCTCCAGCCCCACTGTCACCGTGGCTTTCTGTGGGATCTGGACGCTCCAGCTTCACCGTCACCGTGGCTTTCTGTGGTCCAGCCTCATTGTCACCGTGGCTTTCTGCGGTCCAGCCTCATTGTCACCGTGGCTTTCTGTGGTCCAGCCTCATTGTCACCGTGGCTTTCTGTGGTCCAGCCTCATTGTCACCGTGGCTTTCTGTGGGGTCTGGATGCTTCAGCCTCATTGTCTGTATTTCTGCCTTATATCTGGAATCAGTCATTTCTCCAAAAAGCTCAGGCTGCTTTCGGTGTAAAATGTCCGTAGAAACCAGTGTGGGTGCGGCGTGCTTCCAGCTGCAGGGCAGGCCTTGTCTCCAGGCCTTTGCAGTGGGCAGAGTTCGGAAATACACGTGTTAAAAAATGTATAGCGTACATCAGAAATTCATACCGAAGCCGTCCAGGGGTTTTCCTGTAAGCTTAATATCCTGAATTTTTACCTCCTTTGTCAGCTGAAAACTCTAATACTGAAAAAATCAGCCACATGGAACATCTGTGTTACGCCGCCGTTCACACAAAGCTTTGGGTCGCGGGTCAGTCCTGCACCAAGAGGGGGTTATTGCAGCATATTTTCCATTCCTGATATGTGGTTAGCTCCCTAGAGCTATGGGGTCAAGTTACTGTGTTTTCAAATATCTGGAGTCTCTTGGAATACCTCTGTGTATGTTTTATTTTTTTCATTTTCTTCTGCTTTTGAGGTATGGCTTTTTAAATTCGATTTTGTTTGTAATTGTGAAAAATGTTTGCATGGTGCCAAGATTAAATCTTCACAATGAGGTGCTACCCGGGCCCCGGGCTGCAAGGGCTCCTAACCACACAGACCCCAGGCAGAGGCCGCCCTGGGGGACAGGGGGCCTGGGGCAGGGCCAGGATCCGGGGAGCTGGGGGGCGGCGAGCAGAGGTGGCCGGTCCCAGGAGCACGGAGCTATGCCCTCACCCCTGGTCTCTCCTCCTGCATAGGTCGCCAGGCTGGAGGGGAGGATCATCCTGACGTCAGGGCAGCCCTACCACTCGGTGAGTGCCCCACGGATCAGCCCGAGGGGCCGAGCCCCATCTTCCCAAGCTCCCAGCCCCTCGGCCACCCCCACCTCAGGGTTAGCTTGCCGTGGGCTGGACCCCGGCGCCTCTGCCGTACCCCTGATGGGCTGAGAGAGGGCCCCTGCCCCGTGCTGGTGGAGGCGGGCTGGGCCTGGGCAGGTGCCAGGCTCCGTGCTGCCCCTCAGCAGCCTAGCCGTGCCTTTGCAGCTCCGGGCCCAGGTTGGGGCTGGGCGCTGCCTCCTGGTCGACGGCTCCCTGAAGGCCCAGCAGCAGGCCAAGGCTGTCCTCAGGCATTTCAATGTGCATGTCACCCATGAAGACATCTTTAGCCGCTGCCAGGTGGGTCCCGAGTACCTATCCCGCCTCAGGCTGGCACCGGATCAGGGGTCGGGGTCTGGGGCCGGCAGAGTGTCCCTCGTGCAGCCGGCAGGGCCAGGGGACGGCACAGCCCCAAGCAGGCGCTGGTTTGGATTTGAGAAACTCCCGCCAGCCCCCACGGGGCTTCTGGCAGGCATCGAGGGAAACCGTGGACTTCCCTGCGGGCTGGGTGGGTCCTGCCTTCCAAAGGCAACACACAGAATGGCCTGCATCTCTTGGTGTCATCTAGCAAGGTCTGGGCAAGAGAGTCCCAGAGTGGGAGCTGCCAGACCTCAGTGGACGTCCATGGGGAGGCGGAAGGTGGCCCCAGAGCCCCACTCACTTCTCTCCCTCCTGTCCTGTCCCCAGTGCGGGGCTGGGCTGAGTCAGCTGCCCGGGACCCCGGAGCCGCACTGTCCAACCATCTGGTTTGAGCCCACTGGGCACCTGGGCATGGCCGGGGGGCGCTGATGCTGCCTTTGCCCCTCCACGCCAGGACAGGGTGAGACTGCCCTCAGCATCAGGGTCTCCGTGGGCAACATGGGAGAAGGGGGACTGTGGGGCTGTCCTGGCTCTCGGAAGCTCCCAGAACGTTCCGGAGTTAGGGCTACATCAATATTCCGCTAGAGCAGCAGGTTGTGGCTGCTCCTTTAAGCCCGGTTTTGTTTTGTGGGGGGACGGAGTCTCATTCAACTGCGCAGGCGGGAGTGCAATGGTTCAATCTCAGCTCACTGCAGCCTCTGCCTCCCAGGTTCAGGTGATTCTCCCACCTCAGCTTCCTGAGTAGCTGGGATTACAGACGTGTCCACCGCGCCCAGCTAATTCTTATATTTTTAGTAGATATGGGACTTCACCGTGTTGGTCAGGATGGTCTCGAACTCCTGACCTCAGGTGATCCACCTGCCTCATCCTCCCAAAGTGCTGGGATTACAGGCGTGAGCCCCTCTACCTAGCCTCCCAAGCCCCGTTTTCTGGGGAAGTTTTGAGACCCCCTTATGGAGGGAGACCCCCTCATGGAGGCCACTGCCAGGGTCCCTGCTGGCACCTGGGCTGGGTAGGGAGAGGCCCTGAGCTCAGCTCCACAGCATGGTCCTCAGTGGTGCCCACCTGGCTGAGCAGACAGAAGCAGCCCTGGGCCTCCTGCTGCCGCCCTCCTGCCCCTGAGTCCTCAGGCTGGGCCCGCTGGGTTTGATGCAGGAAGGAAAGAGGGGAAGCCGTGGCTCCTGACCTGCAGCCAGCCGTGCACCTGAGCACATAGGCCCCTGCGCTGGGGGTGCAGCTGACCCTCTGGCCCCACTGCCCTGCGGGGACAGCGGCCTCTGCCTCAGGCAGCAAGGAAGTGCGCCGCAGGGGCCTCTCCCTCAGCCTTGGGCTCCGGGCGGCAGGAACCGTGTCCGCTGCCTCTCTTTGTCTGTGCTCTGCCGGCAAGCGCTGTAAAGACCCCAGGATGTCCGGGACGCCTGGGGAGGCATGTTAATGAGCTTTTCAGAATCCGACGGCTGCATTTTCTTGAGAAAACAGGAAGTTGGATAGCTGGGAGGAAACCCCTGCTGGAGCCCCGGGCAGCCGGGTGCTGGGGAGCGCCCCTGAGGACCCAGGCCAGGCACAGAGGGGCCGCCAAGCCCTGCGTGGAGAAGGGTGCACAGGGTGTGAGGCGGAAGAGCGGACGTTGGCCTGGCTGAGGACGGGAAGGGGATTGGGGGGTGCTGAGCAGGTGGGGGCCACCCGGCCCCATGTCCGCCCTGCCTCTTCGCTGGCAGCCCCGGTTGCTGATGCCACTCTGGCAACCACACCCTGCAGCCCCCAGGCTGCCCCTGCCATGGCAAACAGGAGCACCAGGCCCAGGGGGCCTGCAGGTTCTGTGAGAGAGCAGGCCTGGGAGGGGCCAGGGCCAGAGCCACACCCGCCTTGGGGGCCAGCAAATGCACAGCCCAGAGGGGCAGCACCTGCCGCCCAGGACCAAGGCAGTGAAGGAGGGAGCAGCTGGGTCCCAGAGACACAACAGCCAGCGGGGGTCCAGCCCGGAGGGCACCTGGGCCCTGGCTGCAGCCCTCAGCCACCTGCCACCCGTGCCAGCCCCTCCATGTGGGGCGACATGGGGAAGGGGCAGACGGGTTGCCTTGGCCCCACAGACTGCCCAGCCCAGGGCCCTGCAGACACGTGGGTCTCTCTCAGTCAGTGTGCACAGCCCACAGATGCTGGGCGGGGCGCAGCGAGGAGAGACCCATGCGTCCCACAGGGGCTGTGGCTGCCTGGTCTGGGAGCAGAGCACACACTGGCGGCCAGAACCTGAGCCCCCTGGCACAGGAGTGGTGCCAGTCCACGCACAGCCCCGTGTGTGGGCCACATGCGACGTCAGGTGGGAGCCCAGCTGGAAGGGAGGCCCTTGTCAGGGCTGGGACCCTGGTAGGCCCTAACAGGGTGTCCTTGGGCAGGTGACAGCGCTGTGGGGAGAGGGCCCTCACGTGCACAAGGGCCCCGTAGGGCCAGCAAGATGGTTCCAGGAGGGCAGGAAAAGGGTCTCGTCTCTGAGAAGCCGAGACATCTACGTGGTACCCAGCCTTCCAGGGCATCGGCTTGGGGAGAATGGAGCTTGCTTTGCACAAGCACATCAGCCAGCTGGTGGCCCAGTGCCCGCAGCCCCGGGCCCCACGTGTGCGCCTGCCTCCTCGGCTCTGGAGTCCCGAGAGGTGCTTGGGGCCTGGAGGGCCAGGGCCCCAGGCCACTCGCCCATGCTGGGCATGTGCTCTGGAAAGTTCTTCCTAGGACTGGGCAGGCTCAGGCCACATTCCCACCACCCGCTCCAGCAGCCCTGCAGCCGAACCCTGGGAGCTTGGCCCGAGTAGGCAGCTGGGAACACCACTGACCAGCCACCCCACACGCTGGCTGCCCCATCCCTACCCTAGGGGCCAAGGGAGGCCCCGTCCTCAGGGCCAGCAAGGTGGGCACAGACAGAGCGACGAAGCTGGGCCCAGCTCCACATGGCTGCAGACCCCGGCCCTGCCCGAGGCCACTGTGCACTGTGTGGACACCAGGGGGCTGCTGACCGTCACTGGCCAGCAGATAGCATCAAGCTCAGGCTGACCCAGCAGCAGAGATGAGCCCTCTGCCCCAGAGCTGCCCCCGGGGCCTGGCTCTGGGCTTGGTCACAGGACCTGAGGCTCACAGCCTCCGCTGTTCCCCCAGCTTGGGCCAGAGCCGGCCAGCTCCCTGGAGAGCGCCTGCTGCCTGCCTGACTTTCCATTTTCTTCTCCTTCCTCTGGCTATTTTGGTGCCGTTCCCGGAGGGAAAGCCCACTGGACGTGCAGTGTCCCCAGTGCGAGGCTGGGGTGCTCTCCGGGTGGCGCGGCTGAGCCCAGAGACAGGCCAGGGACCTGGCCAGGGGTCTGTGGCCACTGCCAGCTCCACCACTCAGCAGGGACCCCGAGCGGTGGGAGTCCCGGGTGCTGGCATTCCTGGCACCGGCTTTCTGGTAGCATCTGCCCACGTGTGTCCCTGAGCCAGGCAGGGAGTGGCACCCCTCAAGGATGGATGGACCACCAGCCCAATGGGGCTGTGAGTCTCAAGTAGAGGGCAGGGCTGTGTCCTCTGGGGCAGGGTGGGGGTGGGGAACATTCCTAGTGCCGTCCACCATGGGAAAATATTTTATCAAAGAAACTTGAGCTTAAAAAAAAACCCTTACCATGAACCCCTGACATGGCATAACGTCTATTTTTACTGTCCTCAATCCCCACCCCCCGGCGTGGTTGGGGGACGGGCTGCCGTCCCACAGAGACATGGCCTGAACCAGTGGCGTCAGGCCCTCGGAAGTGGGCATCCCAGGAGGCCGCAGTGACCCTGCCTCCAAGGGCTCCCAGGCAGAGCCGGCCGTCGTGGAGGGGATGGGGGGGCAGCCGGGGCCCAGCTCATGGGCACCTCGGAAGCCCTGCAGGGATGGGCAGGGACCCTGCAGAGGGTGGTGGACACCAGACCAGCGGAGAGGGGGCCAAGGGCCAAGAGAGGGTTCTTAAGGAGGGGACGGAGTGGGCTCCAGGGCAGCTGCCACCAGCCGTGGACAGGGACTTCAGAGCCCAGACCCAAGACCCAGCCAGGAGGCCCAGGCGGCCCGCTCCTGCCGCAGGCTTGGAGGCCCTCACATTTTCTGTTCTTAGCTGATGGGCAAAGGGAGTCAGGAGGCGGTGCAGCAGCCACAGACCCCACCCCCCAGCCTCTGTCCCCCTCAGCCCAGACTCCATTCCCACACCAGTACCCCCATGTCACACAGGCACACCGGGTGCAGGACCTCCTTCCACGGCTCCCAGGCTGTCAGGAGGAAGATGGGCCCTCCAGCCAGGGCATGGAACTGATCAGCCCAGAGGGCCATGCAGCCCCTCCTCAGGTGGCCCCAGGGCCTGGCTCCTGCTTCAGCGGCCGGGGGTCCAGCATGACCCCCAGGCTAGGGACACAGAGGAGGGGATGGCACCTCAGGAAGCTTAGTGCAGCCCCCAGGGCTGACAGGAGGGTGGTCAGCCAGGGGCCCAGCTGGTCCCTCCAGAAGGCCACCCACACCACCTTCCCACAGCCTTCCGGGCTGGGGACCCTCCAGCCTTGACTCTCAGCCAGAGCCCAGCCTAGGTTCCCACCAGATGGCCCCTGGGGATGGAGGACCTGGACCCACTGGCCTGGGGGCTGCAGGCTCCTGGTGACCCAGATCCCACCTGGTCACTTGAGGAAGGATCCTGGCCTTCCTGGGCCCTGGTGGCAGCCGCCCCACACCCTTTACAGCTGCCACGAGATGCCTGTCCATCGGGAAACCACGGCACCTGGCCTGCCCCACATGCCCCAGCCCTTCCATGATGTCACAAGCATCCCCCATCGTCCTGGGTGAGCGGTGAGGCCATGTGGAGCCCCCCCGTCTCCTGCCCACGCCAGCATCCCCCTAAGCCGAGCCCCTGCAGGTAGCCTGGGTGACTGGAGGGCTTCCCTGCACCGGGGCCTCCGGAGGAGCAGCCTCCCTGGGAATGTACAGACACATGGGGTGTGGGTGGACATCGGGTAGCCAGGACAGCCGGACCTGGGGCCTGGACAATGGGGCTGGGAGGCTTCTGAGCAAGCATGGCTGCATGTCTGGGCCAGGGCAGCTGCTTCCAAGGTCAGTGGGCAGTGGGACGTGCGTGAGCCTGGGCAGGGCTGAGCTCGCCACGTGGGCAGCAAGCAGAGGCCCATCAGTACCCGAAACTGTCTGGGGACCGTGCTGGAGTGTGGGGAACCAGGGCCTGCCTTCCCCTGCTCCACGCCGCCGTGGCGGGACGGGAAGACCCAAAGAAACCTCGGGGGAATGCAGGAGCACTGGCCGCTGAGACCCGGCCTAGGAGGACTTACCCTCCGCAGCTTGAGGGGTCAGCGGGGATGGTGGCCCCAAGTGCCAGTCAGGCCTCCAGGGTTGGGCACAGGCATTTCCCTGGAGCTGGGGGGAGGGGGCTGGGGTACCCCATGGCTGACTTTGGGGAACCCAGGCAGTCTGAGGGCCATGCAGCCCTCCTCAGGTGTCCCCGGGGCCCCACTCTCCGCTCAGCCTGGATGGATGGGGTGGGCAGGCTGGCCTCGGGGGCTCAGGGGTGCAGGCAGAGGGACCGGCCATGGCCAGGTTCAAGGAGGGGAGTTCTGGGGAGCTCCTTGGGGTGACAAAGTAGGGTCTGTGTCCGGCCGCTGTTTCACCCACCCTCCCGGAGAGGCACTGGGGTCTCCTGACCCTCCACTTCCACCCTCCTCCATGCCAGCCACGCTCAG